CCATAGAGAAATGGAGCTCTGTAAATGGTAATTGCTGCCTGATCTGAGGCAATATCCACTCATACACTTTCATATAAAAAGAGCAGCTTAGAAGTCTTTGATCTGTAGTTAAAATAATAGGACACTCTCCCATCCCCTACCACAATTATGAATCATTTTAGCCCAAGGACTCCACCAAGGAAGTTCACACCTTCTAACATGATTAATGTAATTTACTTATAAACAACATTTACAGCAAAACCATGACAATCCCTGTCTTCTCACAAATGTTATTTGGAGTAAGAGCCAAATGATACAGATCCGTGCCTGTACACTCTCTCAGATTCTACATAATTAGGAATGTTTCTTTTGGAGAACTGACATCCTCTAAATTTCAAGTTTGCCTCTGGGTTCTCTCATTTCTCGAGTGGCAGTTACAATGTTTGATACTTTTGGTTTACCAGCAGTTTCCTGGTTTAAAATGACTATTTCCCACCTTCAGATAATCTGACTCCTTTGCTTTTATACCATTGTGTACTAACAGACTGTCTTCACATATTGCCACTGGGCTGTACTCTCAAATTACATTCATTTGGTCACCCCAAGAGGTCTTAATGGGTTTCCCAGGCACCAGCTGTGACATAATTTGTCTTTCTGGCAGTTAAAACTGCCAAAGTGTTCCCTAGGCCTTCCCTTTTGCTCCAGAGTACAGGTAATTTTTTTTTCTTTTGGCAGGGATTCAGCTGCAACTGGTGCATATATTATGAACATATGCCGTCAAAAGGAAAGAATTCTCCAACAGAAGAGAAGGTATATGAGAAATTTAAATGACTGGCCACCTTAAAAACTATTGGGAAAACTTTCTACCTCAGTTAACTATCTGGCATAATATATTCAAGAAAAAAAAAATGGGGCTTAGCTTTTAATACTACTGGCACACTGGCAAGGATAAACTAAAAGAAGAGAATTAAAAATACTGAAATGACTAGTTAGGTGTGTTTCTGATTTTGGCATCTACTGAATGGCAATACTACTATGAAGTGATATAGAACATCATTAAACCATTAGCAGACACATTTAGTTTTAGCCACACCTGAAGCCAAGTCATGTTTCCATATCACCACCTTCTAGCAAAACTATATAATAGTTGTATTCACTCAACAAGGAAGTTGACCTATACCTTTAACTATAGCTTCAATAGAAGGGTTCTACCTATTCTATCCAAAGTAGTTTAGTCTTACCTCTAAAGAAAAATCCTCTAGAAATTGTAAATACCTTAAGAAGATGGAAGTGATTATTGTCCTGTCAGCAATTTATGCGAAAGTGAATACTACAAATTCTAATTTCACAGGGGACTAAGAAAAATTCACATATAAAATGTTCCCACAGTATCAGAAATGGCTCGATCTTTTTTTAAAAAACTCAGGTGTAACTGACATATAACATTACATTAATTTTAGGTTCTTCACTTTTTAATTGAAGGAAAAAACACAAAATCCCTATAAAATAATTTCATTGGTTAGAAAATACTTTGCTTAAAATGTTTATTCCAAAATATTTACACCATTAATACATTAATCCTATTTAATTTCAAAACTGACAGTTGATCTTTTTAAGGTTACATACAAATGACAATAGTGTAGAATCACTTAATATTAGTATTTCTCTTCCAATTACTTTCTATAGTATACTATATATAAATTCCAAGATAAAGCTGCTTAGAATTGCCAAAAATAAAATTAATAAAACTTGAGCTATGCAGCTCTCTAGATCAATATCAGAAAACATAATTGGTCAAATTTTTTCACTAACAGTTAATAGAGTAATTCTTAATGAATTATGCTCATCTCTCTCTCTCTTTCTTTTTGCTAAATTTATTTTTAATGGAGGTACTGGGGATTGAATCCAGGACCCTGTGCATGCTAGACATGTACTCTACCACTGAGCTATATCCTCCCCCTCTGCTCATCTCTTAAATAATATCTCCCTAAATTATTATATAACCAATCCTCCTCTCATCAATCCATTTTACAGCCAGCAATTCAAAGCCTATGTCTAAAGTAATAAAGTAACTTTAAAGAATAATCACTGGTGGACCCCATTCTAACATGTAATCACATTAGCATACTATAAGAATAGCAGTCGAAGTAGGATTAATGGAAATGAACTCAGTATCTAATTAATAGCATTATTAATAAGATTTAAGAGTTGGTAGTACTATGTGGAAAGAAAAAGTTCTGATGTAGCAGCTGCAGGTGGCTCCAGAACTAGATAAATCTCCACTAAAGAGCCTGTAACAAAACTGTTTCTAAACTTATTTTAGAGACACAGGAATTATGAATGACAACTAGAAAAGGACAACTTACAAAAAGTATGTTCCTGGGGGATAGGAACCATAGCTATTTGTATTTCATGGCACCAAAACAGGCACTGCAGGTGCTAAGTAACTGAGGTATCATACAAAATATCGTCTATATGCTGAATTTAAAGAAAAGTCTATTTCTTTACTGAAATACCTTACTGAAATAATGAAAACCATTGTTTAATTTTTTCTCAACACAAGATTACAATGTACTATTGTTTTAGCATAATACAAATCTAAAAATATTTAGGCTAACACAAATTATTTAAAATAAACTTTTTAAAATGACACCAAATAGCATGTCACTTTCTCTTACAGGATTTAAAATACTTACACAGAGTCAGAAGCTGAGGGTATATATGTCAATTATAGAAAACTTGTCCTCTCTCTATGCAGTTTTACCTTCCCTGAAAAGCCCATATACATTAACTGATCTGCCCATCTTCTATTCTAATAGCTCTAGAATTCTCTTATAAAAATCAATTTGTAACAAAATAAATTCTTTCCTGGCTTGATCTGGGCAGTCCTCAAAGTGGGTTCTCAAAAAAATTAAAAACTCACAATATAACATTATTAACCCAAGTGGTTTCAACGAAGTCTTTTGCCAAACTCTTAGGTCCTTATCCCATGCTATTGATACACTTATCTTACTAACCACTAACGGAAAAGATCAATCCTGCACTATTAACACAAAGGTCCAGACTGTTTGATGGTGGGAGGTTTAAGAATGGGATTCACAAAACCAGGCAGGATCAACACCCCTCCCTCAAAATTTCCTCCTTCAATACCATCAGGGTCACTGAGCATTTCTTTCACGTGTGTGATCTTCCATTCTCTACTCTCTAACCACTCCAAACATTTACTCTTTTTTTTTTTCATCACCTAGGAACTGTCTTACTTTTTTAAAGGGCATCACTATCTCCTGAGGAGAAAGTGGTAAGGAGTGACACTTTCAGCCCTGACAACTGTGAATATCAACCTCCACTTTGTTTTGTTTCTTTCCATTCTATCTCAGAAGTAGTCTTCTTTCCACCTAAGACTAACAGTAATTTTTTTTTTTACTAAGACCCTTCCTCAAACTGTCAGAAAACTTGCCTCAGTTACCACTACCTTTCCCCCACCAATATCATCTTCCTCTCTGTTGCCTTTTTGTCTTCAACATATTTTTGTGCTCAAGTCTACAGCATCTTCAAAAATAAAAATTAAAACCGGCCTTCAATTTAGTATCCTCTTCTAGCTACTACTCTCTTCTCCTCTCAGGTAAATTTTTTAAAAAGAGTGGCTATAGTTGCTGCTCCTGATTCCACAAGTCTCCACTGCTGCGTCTCAAAATACTGCAATTAGATTTGTAATCCTATCACTCCACTAAAATTGCTTTTGGAGAGCTTTCTAATATTCTCATAAATGTCAAATCCAATGGTCACCTCTCAGTCTTTGTTTTACTTGACCTCTTTGTAGCAGCTGGCAACATGAATCACTTTCTTTGCTTTGCTGAAATATTGGAGCTCCCAACAGAACTATCCTAAGCCGACTTCTCATTTTACATCCTCTTTCTATGGCTTCGACTATCCATAAGCTGAACATTCCCAAATTTTATTGCTAGTCAAGACTAACATGAAGACTAGACCTATAATTCAGCTATCAATATGTATCTATCTATACACCATATATATATATATATATATATATATATATATATATATATGCCTTAAACTCAATATTCAGAAAGTGAATACATAATCTTTCTTTCAAATCTGTTCCTCATACCCTGGTTAACTATCCAATCTTTAGCTAAAACCTAGGAGTTAACGTAAGACTCCTCCCTAAGTTAATCATTTGCATCGACATGTAACAGTAGAGAGATAAGCCAGTGAATCTTCTCCTTGTCCCATTTCCAAATGGGGATAATCATGCCTATGCTCTTTTATTCTACCAAGAAATCAGTAAGATATATGAAATGATGCATTCAATTATTTGATTAATGTGAAAGAATTTTAAATTCCTTCTAGGTGGTTGGAGGAAGAGAAAGGCCAAACTACATTTGCTCCAAACTCAAGAGTAACAGGGTCCTGTTAACCATTTATTTCAATCTATGAAAATCCCCAAAGTCTGGAGGTTAAAATTTCCATTTAACTGGTGCTGGTAATAAGTTTCTGAGTTTAATTTCTTCAGGATTCTGCTGACTAAGACCACAGAAGGTTAGAATGAAGCTATATGAACTATAATGGTTCAAATCATATCTGTAATGATAAGAGGATTCATTCAGAAAGTGTAAGTGTTTACCTGCTATGTTCAAAATACAATGCTAAATCAATGGGAGACACAAAAAGATGATTCAAGTTTCTGCCCTTGGGAAACTGTTATCTAGTTGCAAGCTATTAAATTCACACAAATACTATGACATAAAAGCCTGTAAGTACAATCAATGGCGTTACATAAAAATTCACAATTTAAAGTAATAAATAATAAACTTTCAGAATTTCTTGAGAATAAAGAAAAAGGAAATGGAAAACAAACTACAATCACAAGTAATCCAAAAGAGAAACTATAATTTTATGTTCCCAATCTTAATGTCACTGAAAAAATACACAAGTTTAATATATTATTTCAAAGAAAATGCTGCAAAAAACAAAACTCTTCCTCCTTTACAATACATTACCTTTACTTGGGACTGATTTTTTCACTGAGGCTACATGATCTTCAGAGATTGCAAGACGCCTCAAAACATCAGCCAAAGCTGCCTTCAGCACAGTGATTTCATCTTCTTGTTGTTGAACTCGTAACTCAAGAGCTGAGAGGCGATCTTGAACATCAGAAGTACTTGCAGCAGAAATACTATCATCTATAAAATAAAGAAAATATGAACTATTTAAAAAGTAAACTGCTTAAGAGAGAATCTAACATAAAACTGTACCAGAGAAGTCTTTTAAAAGATGAGAAAAATTGAAAAAAAAATCATTTTACACAGATTAACTTCTGTAAAGACTTTCCTAGGTATCGGAACTAATTTAAAATAGTAAAAGTTAAAATATCTGACATATAATTAAAATTATGAAAATTTTCCTGTGGTCAAAATTTCCTATATATTATACCATTACTTCAATTGTTTTTTCACCAAAATGTTCCCTAAACATATCACTTTGAAGACTGGAAACGTGCAAGACAGCAAACTATTCAAAGCATTCTTCTTACTTATAATATCATCATAATACTTGCTTACGAAAATAAAGGAATACAAATCACTTCAGTTTTTCTCTATGTGTCAGACTGTGAACCCTTTACCTACAGCATCAATGACCAGAAAGCATTCTTTACTTCCATCTTTATTATTATACTCCAAATCCTCCACAAAATAACCACTATATAATTAGCAAAAGACTTTTCACTGCTCCTTCTCTCCCCTCAGTGTCCCACCTCTCTTACCAAAAAGAAGGGCTTTGTTTCTATAAAGCACATAGGTAATATTTGCCTTAGGTATGTAACAAGAACAAAAACAACAAAAAATAGTTTTCCTAACACAGCAATTACAAACTTCTTCCAATTGCTACTGGCTAATTCACTCACTGTAAGCATGTAAATTCAGGGGGGAATTTAGATTCTTATATAAGAATGATTTGACTTGAATGATATAAACTGGGTCAGTCATTCACTCAATAAGGCATTATGCTGTTTTTCTCATACTGAGATAATGTGCCAGACATCTTAAGCAGACAATTTAACTGAAAGTTTGAGTTTAAAAAACACAAACCCCTCGGCATTTAAAAATCTACCAGCACTTATTATTACTATTACTATTTATCAAAGCTATCACTATTTATTATGGAGTAGTAAACATATTCGTATGTAAGATCTTACATGCCTACAGTCATTTCAGGTGTGAATATGTACTCTATTCTGCCTTTAGAGATATTTCAATGTCAATCTTTGAGAAGTACTGGGATGGAAGGAAAAGCTGGGTTTTAACTTCAATTTAGACTTCAAATTCTAGTTCCATGTTAATTAGTTATGTAACCTTAGGCAACTTATTTTACCTCTTTGAACCTCAATTTCTTTATCTTTAAATATGACTGTTATGAGGAAGGCACCCTGCACATGTTTAACATCCAATAAATATTTAACATACAACAGAAAAGTACAAAAGGTATAATTTGAAAGCTCTGGGCACATTTATTACATAAAAGGCAGATTTGTCAAAATCTGAGATACTTAAGAAGAGGACTGGTAAAACACGTCAGCTTCTCACTTTAGAAATTTCTATTTGAGGTCTTTCTCATTTCCACAGTAGTTTAGCTGAATGCTAGCTGATCCACACTCTGTGTGTTACACTACGGTTACTATATTTTTGTCTGCCCAGAATGCTTTCCTATTTTCCTTTTTCTAGTAGGAAGAACAGCAGCTCTTTTGTGGAACTCCACCAGTTTTTGAGGTCCTATTAGGGCTGTCAATCTATGATGCCTCATTCTCCTCTCTACCACTCTGCACTGTTATTAATAGGTTGAAGCATGTGAAATGGCCTTTTTAGTTGGTAAAGATATGACTGACTTTTGGTCATTTCATATGGTTCAATCTAATACTACCACAGAAGTGGCTGTGAGATATGGGTAGGCCAAATGCAGTCCTCCCAAATTTCCCAGAGATACAGCCCATCCTTCATGGCTTGTCCGTTATAAGGACATACAGACCTAAGGTTGTCAGTGATAAAGTCTTGACTGCCCTGAGTTCCAGTTCTATCCTCTGAGGTCCTGAGCCTTTAGTTCTGAGAGCTATTCTAATATTCCTCTTAGCTCATTATGTAATCTTAAAAAACTCCCTTTTTACAAGCCATCACTTGTAAGCCAAAGCGCCTGATTAAGTCATTAAATTACATGGATATGCCTTTCTAAACTGTTCTTAATTTATGAAAGATGAGTTATATACCTTAATTATAGTCACAGATAAAATATTTATGTGATTTTTATAAACATATAATCTTCTTAATTTGGGAGTGAGGGGTAGGCAGCAGAGCCTAGTGGAAAGATTATCAGCCTGTAATGCCAAACGGCTATTCTTGGGTTTTAGTACCAACATATTCTTTTGCTTTTCATAAGTCACTTAACTTTTATAGACTTTGATTTTTTTTAAATGACTAAGGTTTTTATTTTGTGAAACTTGGATAGTCACATGAAGGGTGGTTTAGCTTGTAAAAATCCTACCACGACCTGCCAGATACTGTGATAAGACACAAAGACAATTTTTCAAAGGGCCTAACAAGCAAGAAGTTAACTATTAACAATGTCCTGCATTTATATAGTACCTTTCATACTTATTACCTCACCCCCCTCCTTGCTCTATCTATATTTTATATTTGGGGAAATAGCTTGAGAAGTTAAATAGCTTGCCCAAGGTCACCAAACTAGTCTTGATATCTGAGACTCAAACAGAGGACTCCTGACTCACAGTTTACATGCCCTTTACTCTATTTCACACTGCATCTTAACAATAACCACAGGAGGACTGAATACATATGTTCTTTTACAAAGCCAGATGGGGTATAAATTATTAAGTGATAAGAATCAGATTTCTGTTTTTAAAAGGTTACTTTGGCTGCTGTGTTAGAATGGACTTGAACAAGGTAAAAGAAAGTGCAAGGAGACGAGGCAAAGACTAATGCAGTAACCTGTGTGAGAGGTGATGGTGGCCTAGGTCAAGGGTAAAGTGTTTGTGTGTCTCAATCTGTCCAGGACAAACATGTCTGCTATCTCAGTAAAAATCTTATCATAATGCTCCTTCTCTCACTCAAGTTTCCCAGTGTGGATGACCAAGTACAGAGTCACATAAACTAAGGCAGCAGCAGCACCAGAGATGCAAAGCCTCACAGTAGTTGATCTCCACAGTTCTTTACAGCTATGAAATTCTCTAACATCTTCCTAATATCTAGTCCCTTCATCTCTTCAGGGACATCAATCTTTCTGGGAATCCAATAAAAGCTGTGGTAGGCTGTGCATCAGCTCCACATTGTTACACCGCCTAAATAAATCTGTTTGCTACTTACCAGCTCTGTGACTAGTTTCCTCACGTAATTTCTTCATGCTAATTAGTATTTATCTCAGGTTTGAGATTATTAGATGAAATAATGCACAGCACTGCCATATAGTGAAGGTCAGTAAGTTACTATTCTGTATAGTGTTTACTATTGCCACAAAATTGAAAATGACCTCAAGTCCCTGGATGGGGTTAATAAGCTATGATATATTCACACCATAGAACACCAAGCAACAACGAAAAACAATGAGACAAGTATATGAACTAGAAATTGGAAAGATCTACAAGATAACTTAAGTGGAACAGGCAAATTGCAGAACACGTACTGAGTAATTTATTAAAACACACACACCAAAACATACTTCTAAAATATAAACAAAAACTTCATATTTATATTTGTATATAATGTACACATAGAAAAAGTCTAGAAGCATACACAATCAAACTGGTAATTGGGTTACTTCTGACAAGGAGAGTGAGATTAGAAGGATAAGGGTAAAGGGAAATTGTTGCTTTTTAGTGTATTTCTGCATTATTTGAATTTCACAATAAAAATGTATCATGTTACTTTTCATATGTTATTTTAAAGTTATATTTAAGCTAAAATACAGTGCTTCTGAAGCTTGATTTCTTAAAGCAACTTTCTCCAGGCACAGTATTCCAATTTTACAAAGGAATATATCAGAGCCTAAGGCAATTAACTTAAATTTACACTCACTGATTACAAAAGCCAGAACAGAGACTATCTTAAAGATCAACAACCCCTCCTGCCATTTCATAGATATGTAAACTAAGACTCTGAGAAATTAGATGAGTTACTTGTAGGCACACAGCAAGTTGGGGTCAGAGCTCCTTCCTCAGATGACTCCACAGAATCAGTCAGGCTTGCTCTTTTCATTTTCAAAACTTCGCTCTCATTTTTTTCTCTCCCAATGGCGAGTGTACCACATTTGCATTCACAATAAACTTTTTAGGAATGTATCTGTTCAGTAAATAGAACATATCTATTTTCTAGGGGCTTTTCCCACTCCCCTTTCTTAGTCCAAGGATATTAATTCCTTTTCCTTATACTGTTGTAGTGTCTTATTTCTTTGCTCCTTCTCAAAATACTTCCTAGCCCTGAGGGTTAAAATATGAACAAGTAAATTTTGAAGGGTTCTTAAACTTACTAAGGGAGGAAAAGAAAGAAAAGAAAGGAAAGGAGGAAGGAAGAAAAGAAAAGAATAGAATAGAAAAGAAAAGAAAAGAAAAATAAGGTCCAGAAACCTCTTTTTTCACCAGTCTAATCTATTTATTGGCATAAGAAAGTCTCCTTTATTAGAAGTACAAGCAAATTTACATGTAACCAGTAAACTAGAATATCCAATATTATAGTTTTAAAACTATAATGGCAGCCACTCATTATGCTTTTACCGTAGTGAATCATAGTTAATTTGTCTTCTGAATTGTCAAGAAATGTTACCTCTGAAGAGAGAAATGTATTTTACTTTACTCTAAATATCTCAAAGTTGGCAATCCAATATCATATCAGAATGAGGCATGCCTATACATGCTAGCACCTTTTGAATGTCAATGATTTCATGTAAATCTTTCTAAAATGGAACACTTACTTTCTTGTCTTCCTTATAAAGGCATAGAATTATAATGCATCCACTTCTAGAGGACTCAGCCTTCACTGAGAATATTAACTATTTGTAATAAAATGATGTCCTGGAGGCCATTATATTTATAATTAAATAATTTAAAGTATTACATTTTCAAACTTAATCTTTCTTCATACCTTTTCTGCCTCTTTGCAGTTAGGATTAACTATGCTAGTCTGGAACACTCCTTTCCAATCCAATTTCCTACATTACAGGATATGGGATAACCAACCTTTTTGAATCTTTTATAAGAGAAAATCATCTCTAAAATTAGGATCTCTTCTATTCAAAAAACTACATATATTATACACACATTATGTATATGATGTGTACAACTTAAACGTAGAGAAAAAATACATACTGCCTCAGGCCTAGTATCTGTGTCACTAGAGTCTCAGAGGAAGAGAACAAAAGTTTTTAGCTGAAAAAAATATGTGAAGAAATAATGGTCGAACTTCTCAAGTTAAATTAAAATTTACAAATTCATTAAAATTCAGTATATTGAAGTCCCTATCTCTACCCCACAGAAAAATCAAATCCAAGTAGATTAAAGAATTAAAGGCAAAATTATAAAATCTTTAGAAAAATAATAGAGAATATCTTCATATCCTGCAATTAGAGAGGAGGTTCCTAAATAAGATACAAAAAGTACTATCCTTAAATGTAAAAACTGATACTCAACTATGTTAGAATTCAGAACTTCTGTTCACTAAAAGACACAATAAAGAGAAAAAGCAATTACAAACTAGGAAAAGATAGTTGTAACCAATAAAGGGTTAGGATCCTGAATAAAGAATTCCTACAAATCGATAAGACAGACAAACAACCCTATAGGAAAAAATTAGCAAAAGCCTTGACTCAACACCTCACTGAAAAGGAAACATAAATGGCCAATGAACATATGAAATGAGGCTCAAGCACCTCATTAATAATCTTGAAAAGGAAAATTAAAACCACATGAAATACTATTCTATGCTCACCAAGCTGGCAAAAATATTTAAAGTGTGACAATATCCCAATATTCCCAAGGATACAGAGCCATACAAATTCTCGTACATTATTGGTAGACAGTTAACTGCCTTGCAATGACTTTGAGGTAAAAACAAACAGAATTTGTCACTGTCTGGTAAAACTGAAGATGCCCACATCCTATGACCCAGTAATCCCACTTCTAGGTGTATATACTCTGACTTACAGCAGGGTTGGCAATCTTTTTCTATGAGAGCCAGATAGTAAATATTTAAGGCTCTGCAGATCACGTAATAGATACAGCTATTAGATACACAGGTCTGTCATGAAACACGTATAGATAATAGAATATCTATGTCATATAAATAATTAAAACATTTATTGAATTACACTTTTTTGAGGTGGAGGTTAGTTAGTAATTCTTCTCAGAGGATGGGGAATGACAATGACTAGACTACATAATTGATTTACTCACCTTTTTTTTTGAGAACAATGAAAGTATTCTTTGCAAATTAAATTCCGAAACAGATAAAAATGGAGTTGTACTTCCAAAGCACTCTTGAGCTTTTCTTTATAAAAAACAACTAAACCAGATGGTTTTTACGGTAGTTTTGATGCTAATGATATAACCCTAATGTTAGTTGTTACTTATGAACCTTTAAAAAAAAATAGTCCATTTCAAAAATGTTTATTAGATATAACAGCATCCAAAGAACAACTATTTCTAAAAAAATTAAAGAGTCTGTGATCTTCCCTTCCTAACACAATTACGTTAATACACTGGGCAGGCCTCAGTGAACAGAATGATAGTGACAGATTAAAAGAACTAATGAGACTCCAGTAACAACACCATGCATTGTTTGTATAGTTAAAAAAAAAAAAAGGTGAAAGCATTAGCCTGAAAGACTATCAATAGAGAACTGACTAAATAAACAGTTGTACTATGGTACACTATGCGGCTCTTAAGGAGTATAGCATATATTTAAAATCATAAACAAGTAAGTTTAGTAGGAGTAACAACATACTATAGAGAGAAAAAAAATTGCAGGCAGTATTTAAACTGTAGAACTGTATATCCATAGGCATATATACACATACGGATGTGCAGAGAGACTGGAAACATGTCTCTGCGAAGTGGAATTTCAGTGGATTTTGCTTCCTTATACTCACTCTTTTATTCTAGATGAATTTTCTGCAAGAAAAATTCTTTGTGAACAAAATTTAAACTATTTTCTCAGAAGAAGAAAAGCAAAGCTAATTTTGGCTATGATGTAAATCTACTTAGTAATGCACCCAAATTTTCAATACAAGTTTGGTTAATTTGTAGATTTTTACACAGTGAATTGAAAACGTTTCTGTAAAACTGTATGTCTCATGATATTCTCAGGCTAATAAGAGACACAAAAATCAATACAATACATCCAAAGGAAAATTGAGTCTTTAAACATTACTTCTTCAAAAACCAAAGTCACAAATGACTTGTCACATTAATAAACTCCCATTAGAAGGCATTTAGCAACTTAAATGGTTTTCTGTTTTGTTCTAAGATGGAATTGGTTGTTTTCAAATTTTGTCGCATAAAGAAATAACTATTTAAGTATTACATCAAAAAGTTATGCACTATGAATTCTACAACGGCTAAAATGTACTTTTGGAAATAAAATATATTCATAAAAACACAATAGCTCATATGAAGATATACTTATGCAAGAATTAATGCTCCTTATTTATCTTAATATTCTACTTCCAAAAATCAAATTTTTCTCTCAAGAAAGTTTTTAATGAAGTAAGGCATTTTAACTGTTAAAGCTTGGGTATTTCATTTCTTGAGTAAATGACAATATTAATTACCTCCAGCTAGCAATATGATTAAATGAAAGTAAGACTAATTTCTGTTCTATTCAACTGAATAACATGAATAATGGTGACCTATTTTCTACTTTTAAAAACTTAAGTTTTTTTCCCTTGTGAGATATTCTTACTAAGAATTCACCTACTAGCATAAATTATAAGATAAATTGTGTTAAATAAAACAAAAAACTATTTTTGCTACAGTACTCTGGGCATGAAGGCTAGTCCCAGGGAAGAACTTCACTTCCTTTTATCACTAGAATTCATCCACAATTAAAATGGTCTTTTTTCCCCCCAAAGTCTTACTTAATTTAACACAGAATTAAAAACAGATAATCAGATAATTCTGCTTTTAATGAAGTTTTTTGGTTAGACTTCACAGAAGCAAAAGTCAAGCTAAATTACACAATTCTGATTTGCTATTATTTAAGAGAAGCACTTTAAAAAACTATTTTCCACTATAAGCTAAAAGTTGTTTTTATTTTTTCCTGCACAAATAATATAATAACCATCTTTTTTGTAGGGGGAGGGTGGCACAAGCAAAGAACAAGTTGAACAAAGCCCATTCTCACAACAGGAACATATCTGTTATAAAATGGATACAGTCTTAAGCACTTTATAAAGTATGTAGGCAAATACTTATGCCATTATTGGCACATATATTTAAAGGAAGGAGGGTGGGGAAAAAAAAGAAAGGATCTAGATTCATTCCCATGTCCTCAGACTTCTTTTGTCACCAGAAGTAAAGTTTATGCCATAGATCTGAATTCTCAGGAAAGGAAAGATACTTTACCAGCGCAGAAGTTCGTAAGTGTAGAGGAACCACACACAGAAGCGAGACCAGGCAAGCTGTCTTCCATTCTTGCCACCTACGTTACAAGCAATATAAACCAGTTCTGTCTACGTTTCCTGCTGCCTTCCCAGATAGTTCCAGAGCAAATCCCAGCTCTCTAAATCTTACGACATACTTTACATTCTGAGGAAATCCTCCCGGTCCAGATGGCCTACCACAAAGCACTTCTATGTTGGCACAAATAAAACCTTAAGAAGATAGTTTTTCTCCTGCCCCTTTGCTCTCTGATCTAAAGAAGTTTCCTACTTATTTATAAAGAGAGACAAAGAAACTGAAGGAGAGAGCAAACACAGCACGCAGGCAAAAGAGGGGTAAGGATATAGACAAAAAACTTAGGCTGCTTTGGGGAGTGGCTAAATTCCAGGCACAGGCAGAAACACATGAATTAATGCACCACATGAATATTCACTACAGTTACTTGGCTGTCCTCAGGCACTACTTCTCTGATCTTTTAATTGGTTAGGAGTAAGGTACAACTGCTTCAAATACAAAAACCTAGTTTATGTTTTCTGAAACTAAAACACAGTTTCACATGTTTCTATAAATAACAGAATTAAAACCCCCGAAGTGAGCATTTTCTCTACTAGGAAATAAACAATGTGTGTGCTAAGTGGCAAGTCACATTTCCTTTTTCCTTCTGCTTTTATTTAAAATGAAATGAAATCCACATGAACTGTAAAGAAACCAAAGAATGACCACTTCTCATTAATTCTTAAAACCTAAGTGTTAAGACTAACATGGCTGATTACAACCATCTCACTAAAGCAAAATAATAAATACAATTAAAAGAGCAAATAGTCATTTTTGTTAATTCAATAATTTTCCAAATTATTTTAAAATAATACAACTGTACTAGTAACTAACCTATAATTATTTACAACTGGTCAGAAATTCCAATTTTAAACCACTTACATTTACAATAATGTAAAATTACAAGGGAATTCAAATTATAAATATCTTTAGTCTCTTACAAAACCATGTAAAACCAGGTGAAAGTTAATGAATGTAACATGTATTTATTCTTTTGATAACTACTTCTAAGCCTAATTAAAGAACAAATTCATGAAGATAAGTGTCAAAACAGAGCTCCTGGTGGATTACCTCTTCAGTTTGTTCCTTTGATGCTTTATATTTATAGTTGAGAAAAGCAAATTTAAACCAATCCAAAGTAAAACAGAAACAACAAGACTACTATAAGCACACACACATATACCAAAAAAAAAAAATACTGTGAAATGGATGAAAACTAAACCAAACTGAAGATTAAGAACTGTGCTACAAAGATTGAGATAAGGATAAAACAATCGCAAAGATGATAAAAGATAGAGGAATGAAGCAAACTGATCTAGATTAATATTTATAAAAGCCTTTATGGAAAAAGTAGAAACCATTAAGAGTGTTTCCACAAGTGAGACTCAGGAAAGTACTTTTCTTTCAATTAATACCTGGTACAGATTCATCAAAATATAGGAGCTACTTGAAAGATTAACAGGAGTTAAGTGGGCTGGGGTGTGTGTGGAATGTGTGTGAAACAAATGACATTTAGGAGAGACCACATAGGATGAATAAAAGCAGAATGGAAAATACAGTAATACAAAAGAAACGTAGTGCCAGGCACAGACTAGGAAGGAGTTCAGATTCTGGCTACTGATGGGTGAGAGGCTCTGAAGCATACTGTACATCATCACACTTTTCTTCAATCACCAGGCAAATTTAAGACTAGTTTTATAACTCAGGTGTCAACCACCCTTCTTTACAACAAATGTAGCCCAATTAAATGACTGCTCACTGACTCCTAAGGTTAAAGGAACTATCGAGAAGTTCTGTAACCTACTGCTTTCTAACCAGTACATAACAGAAAGGCTCCTCTTAAGCATTACAGTACATGGGCTTCTTTTTGCCACCTCCCATTTGTAGACTGCAACTGATCTGTAGATTATATACCTTGGGCATTCCTTTCTTCTCAAATCAAAATATGATTTCAGGCCAGAAAGCATGTGGTTCCTAATCTCAGTTTAGTTTCTGTGAATCATCTCTCTTTACTATTACAGCCAAATATCTTTCCCAAAAGGACTACTCATTCATTCAAGTATTTGAGTACTATTATGTATAGAAATTCTTCAAGATGCTGAAGAGAATTAAAAGCAATTTTACTAACAGAATTTTACACACTTGAAATTAGAACTGAAAGAACTGATTTAAGAGATGTTACTCAAGACACAGGATTGATGGAATACGGTCACTGATCGAACTAGATAAAAAGTAGAGGAGGGTTCCCATGTGCTATTCGGACACTGAGTAAATGGTTAGGTAATATTCACTGAGATAGGAAAAAAGGAAAAGAAAGAAGGTGGGGAATGAAGAAGTAGAATGATGAGAGGTTTTGGACCTGCTGAGTTTGAGGTCACAGCAACAAAAGTGTAACCAGGCCTTGGGCTAAGATAAAAGGCCTAAACTAGAGATGTACATTTAGAAACTATATTAGGATATAACTGACAGCTAGAGTCATGAAAATTGATGACTGGGAGTGAGGAGAGAATAGAGTCAAGGCTATTTCTAGGACAGCCAGAAGGAAAGGAATGTGAAGAGAACATAGAATAAAAACTGTCAGAAAGGTAGTCATAGATTCAGGAAAAGACTAATCATTTCAAAGACTGAAAAAACATCAAAAGACAAGGACTGAAAATGGTCCACTGGATTTGGTAATTATTAGGGAACCTTTACCAGAGAAGTTTCAGTGGAGTAATAGGGACAGAAGCATGAGTGCAAGGTACCGAGTTATGACTGGGAGGTAAGAAAGTCTTTTTAAGGAATCTGGCTGAAGATGGACAGAGGCGGAAATGGAATGAGGAGTTGGGAATGAGCTGTTGATGGGGTTTTTGTTCAAGATGGAGGAGCAGTACATTTATAAGGTTTGGGGAAGGAAACAATGACAAACTGAGTTGTACTAACACAAGAGTGCACCTGGCAAAGCTCTTGGGTTAGAGAAGATGTGAAGGGCTAAAGCAGACAACACAGGCCAAAGGATGAGCCTGAAAAAGGGCCACTTTTATTTAATAAAGGGAAGAAGAGAGCAGGCCCAGATATTTGTTTTTATACCTAAATGTTTTATCTGTCAAACTGGAGACAAGGTTACCTGCTAAGAGAAGCTGGTTAAAGCTTAAGCTAAGTAGTGAAGTATGGAATTGTCTATACCATCCTACTCATCACATTGTAGGATACTGTTAATTAGCTTTTAATAAAGTTACATTTAAAATCCCTAATTAATTCATTAAAAACATCTTTTAAAAATGAAGAAAAAATAAAAACTTTCTGAAACAAAACACTGTGAAAATATATTGCCAGCAAACCTACTCTACAAGAAATACTAAAAGAAGTACTTCAGGCAGAAAGGTTATGATACCAGACAAAAACCTAAACCCACACAAAGAAATAAAACAAATGAAAGCAAAAAAATAAATAAATAAATAAATCCCTAACTATATTGTGAAGCTCTCTAGGGAAGACTCTAGAGAAGTTCTTTTTTTTCCCTCCACACCTGAAAACTACCACATGTAGCAGTAACTCTCCAAACAGTGGATGATTTAATGTAGCTGTGCTTTAGAATCAGCAGCAAAGATAGGATGAAACAAGGGACGAGACAGAGACCCCTATTACCTCAGTGCCATACAGAGGACTGCGGCTGCTTTAGCAGAACAGAACCCCCATGTGAGAAGTTACATGGAACTGGGTGGAGGATCTGGAAGAAACACTTTTAGCCAATGACTATATGATAGAAAAGACACATCTCTCTCCTACTTTCTTCACTATCCTAAATATTTCTTCCCTTTTTGGCTGCTTCTTTCTATGAATATCCTTCTTTCCTCTTTAGGACCTGGACTACAAGACTGATCAATCAATTGATTGATCTAACTCCCTGCCTTTCTCCCCACCCCTTTTCCCCTCTCTCTGCCACAATATGCCTAAAGTGAAGTATATTTTTGTTACTGCTGTCATAGTTCTAGAGATTTAGCTTAACCAAGGGGTTAGATATTTTTGCACTACTGAGCCTCAACCCAGACTTAATTTCATTAGATTTTTCTTTTTGTTTTTTTATAAGTAAATGAGCTAAAATGCTTATATTTCTCATTTTAAAAAATCCATTTTATTCCCCTCCCTAATTTTTCTGACAAACTCATAGCTTCCTACAGGTTATTTAATTCTAAACTCACTCATTCACATTTTCTCTCTCTCTCTCTCTCTCATACACACACCCCCCTGAGTTAATCACTGGCCCTTGGCAGAAAATACAAGCATGTCTTGCTTTTAAGAAAAATATTCTATTATGTAAGTTTTCATTAGAAAAATTGTTCTTGGAAAACAAAGTTCATGTGTAACTGAAAACTTATTTAATGTGCAAATAATGGTTAAAAACACAATGCTGGATTTAGATTATCTGGATTCAAAAACTGGCTTCACCATCTAATAAATATACAACCCTCTCCTCCTCTTCTTCCAGATGGTTTCATGGGGATATCCAACTTCCATAACTCAACTGGGTAATTTAATCCATTCCTTACTTTAGCTACATTATGGATTAAGAGCCCTCTGTGGCCTGGCTTAAGTAAGTCAAGTTTTTAAACTTCTCCATGCCTCAGTTTCCTCATCTTTAAAATGAGGCCAAGAGCACCTAACATATAAAATTATAGAAAATTTAAAACATAAATTGTTAAAGGGCATTTTAAAAAATGACAGTTAAGAACTAAAATAATTATTAAAATTCTAAAATAAAGGCCTGGTAAACCCACACCTAGACTGCCTTAATTCTTAAGGATCCGTAAGCTTTGTGGCACCAGGCACCTAACTGGTCACAGACCTACTGAAACAGTCTCTGAAACACCAGCAGAAAGAGATGCTGCATTATTTTACTAATTGCTTGTTCTCTAAATTCCATTTCACTATCAGAAAGTTAAAAAGACTAAATTGGAATTAGCAGGAAAGATTCAAAACAACACAAAAAATGTGTTATTTGATAACCATCTTTAATATTTGGTGAGCTTCAATTATATGCCATTCATTGCTAGGGTTTGAATAAGATGGTCTCCAAACCTAAGAAGCACGGATGAGGGAGAGAGACAAATGTAAAGAAATAAGTACTGGAGTATAATACAACACTGTCCTGATGAATAATACACAGAAAATAGTGGGACTCAAAAAAGGAAATTAGTCAATTTTTAATGAGGAGGAAGGATGAAAGTCTGGTCTCTGGAACAAGTTATTTTTCTACTAAAAGAAAAATATTGATGAGAACTTTTAAAAAAGCAATGCAACTGGAGAGCTCAC